ACCTCATGACCGGTGATGTTCTCCACATGAACTCCTGGGGATGATACACCAAGCCCAGTCTTCCAGGCCAGCCCTAAATCTACTCACTCCAAAGGGCCCCCCATGTCCCCCACCCTTACATCACTTCTTGATTTTTGTATATTCTGCATCAGCTCTGCTGGAACAGGGCGTGACAACCCACTCTAGTATTCTTGCCTGGAGAATCCCGTGGACAGAGGAGCCTGGCAAGCTACAGCCCATAGGATCACAAAACGTCAGACACAACTACAGTGACTTAGCACGCATGCATGCAAGCATGTACCAACTCTTCACTTATTTGCTTATTCACTTTTTCATTCAATTCATTGTATTTAAATAGGAAGCTTTACATTATAATTCAAATGGAAAACCAGCCCGGCCTGCCATAAATAGAAGGGCATAAATAGAAATAACCACAAAGACATGGGGAACTAGGTCGTGTTGGTAATTTCTAGTGAGGTGGGAGCCCGCTGAAGGCTCATAGCTGAGTCTGCAGAGGGGAGCTCAGACATGTCTGGGAGGCGTTGAGGCCATAGCAGCACTAACCTGAGGTTTCCTCTCTGCCCACGCTGGATCCAGAGAGAACAGGAAAGGGGGGAGTGGTCTCATTCTGTGTCATCCTTTGTCTTGGCTGTGCCATCTGAAATCATCGCGTGCCTTCTCTGGTCCCTGGGAGCCCCATGCTTTGAGAAACAGTCGCAGTGACACATTGGGATGGTGGTCTGAACCAACTGTGATTGACACCCGATGATTTTAGATGCTGTGGTTGAGGCAATGACAGCATGCAGTGACAAGGTTATTTCCATTTCAGTGGTTCTGCTCGGCACAGAAGTCTGTATGTAGGCTGGTCACCAACCTCAGGGTGGGCTGAGAGTTTTAGCTCTGGAGCCAGGATGCCTGGGTCCAAATCTGGGCTCTGCAGCAGGTTTCTTAACCTCTCTGCTTGAGTTTCCTTCTCCACAAGATGGGGACAATGATAACAATGACCTCATAGAGTGGCTGGGAATGATGAAAGGGTTTATCTATACATATAAATAAAGCACTTAGAGTTTAGTGAAACAAATGCCTAGTAGGCACATAGGAAGTGCTTAACAGTAAATATTATTATTCTCTAAACCAATTTAAGCATACAATATTATTCTTTGTATTCTTAATCATAGATTCTTATTCTATAAATCAGTATAATATAAACAAATATGATTTCTGTTTTGAGTTCCTACTCTGTCAAACTGGCAGGAAATGAAACATTGGGTTTAGGAGGTCCCCCTACCTTTGAGAGTGACTGAGTTTGTAGGGTCTTATGCAGGTTGAGGTAGGGGTGAGGGGACCACATGGTCCCTCCCAGGCTCCCTAAGACAGCCTCATGGATGCTGAGGCCATGGTGTTTTTTGCTGCCGGGGAGCCACGCAGGAGGCACCCGGGGCCCTGAGCATTTTTGAGAAGCTGCCTTAGTCCTGGCTGCCTCCATGCCCCCAGCCCACTTCCAGCTTCCCTCTCCCGAGGTCTGGGGGAAGCCGGGGGAGGTCCCTGCCACCCTATGGTTCTCCTCTGCTTTGCACAGCCTGGGGCATCTCTGGTGAGTCTAGCAAAAGTCCTGCTCATCCTCTTTTCCTGAGGGCTTAGGGTTAGTACAACAAATGCTCCAGAGTCTTGAGGTCTGCCTATGTTCCCTCCACCAACCTTCGTAATATGCTGGCTTTTCCCATGTGGCCATTAAAAAAAGCTCACATATCCAAATGTTTCAAAACATGGCTCTCCACATTTTGGGGGTGTGCATCTGCCTTGCTGGTACCCAGACCTGCACCTGGCTACTATTGCGTGGTTTGGCCCAGGTGTAGTGGGGAGTAGGGGCACCCTACCAGCCCTTTAGCATCCTCTGAGCTCTGCCTAGAGGCAGACCTGTCCCCACAGTCCCTGGGGAGGGTAATGAAGCCCCAAACAGGGACACACCCAGGCTCCCCAGGGAGGATCTGATTCTCAGGATGTGAGGCCTCTCGGGTCAGGAGAGGAGCTGAGGGGATTATTCCTGGGGGCTCTTGGCAGGTGCAAAAAGAAGGAAATACCAAATGTCACAGGGGTAACACACATTACAAAAACAATCTGTCACCCTTGATTGTAGGAAGCTTCCAAATGTCTCCATTTGAGGCCCTTCAAGAGTGTGAGGCCCTGAAGAGGTAAAATTGTCACTACATGCAGATGACGTGATACTATACATAGGAAACCCTGAGGACTCCACGCAAACACTACTAAAGCTAATAAATGAATTTAGCAAAGTAGCAGGATTCAAGATTAATATTAAAAAATCAGTTGCAACACTTTATAATAACAATGAAACATCATCAGAAAAGGAATGTTAAAAAAAAAAACCCTTTTAAAATATTATCAAAAAAAAAAAAAGACTTACCTCGTGGTGCAGTGGTTAAGAATCTGCCTGCCAAAGTAGGAGACATGGGTTTGATCCCTGGTTTGGGAGGATTCCGCATGCCTCGGAGCAACTAAACTTGTGCGCTGCCACTACCGAGCCTGAATGTTGCAACTCCTGAAGCCCGTGCTCTACAACAAGAGAAGCCACTGCAATCAGAAGCCCACGCACTGCAACTCGAGAGTAGCTCCCGCTTGCCACAGCTAGAGAAAATCCTGCACCCAGCAGCAAAGACCCAGTGCAACCAAAAACAAATAAATAATTTAAAAAAATAAAACAACCTAGGAATAAACCTGACCAAAGAGGTGAAAGACTAATATGCTGAAAACTAACATGTTAGTAAAGTAAATTAAAGAGGATTCAAAGACATGGAAAGATATCCCATTCCCTTCCAAGAGGATTGCAAGGATTAATATTGTTAAAATGGCAATTTTATCCAAAGCAATGTGCAAATTTAGTGTGATACCTATCAAAATACCCAAGACGTTTTTCACAGAACTAGAACAAATAATCCAAAAATTTTTGTAAGAACTATTGAAGACCCAGAATTGCCAAAGCAATCCTGTGAGGCGGCCTAGGGATGGGAGCCACGGAGCAACAGGCGTAACTCTCCCAGACTTCAGATAATACTACAAAGCTACAGTAAAATCAAAACAGTGTTGTAAGGGTATAAAAATGGACATGCGGATCTATGGAACAGTGAAAATGGAGTCTAGAAATAAACCCATATACCTATGACCAATTAATCTCCAACAAAGGAGGCAAGAATATAAAATGGGTAAAAGACAGTCTCTTCAGCAAGTGGTGCTGGGAAAGTTACCTGCATGTAAATCAGTGAAGTTAGAACATACTGTCACACCATATACAAAAATAAACTTAAAATGGCTTGAAGACTTAAACCTAAGCCATGACATGTAAAACTCCTAGAAGAGAGCATAGGCAAAACATTCTCTGACACAAATCATACCAATGCTTTCTTGGTTCAGTCTCCCAAGGCAATAGAAATAAAAAACAAAAATAAATAAATGGGGCCTAATCAAACTTTTACAAGCTTTTGCACAGCAGAGGAAATCATGAAAAAGGAATAAAGAAAGAAAAGACAGCCTATGGAATGGGAGAAAATATTTGCAAATGAGTTGATGGACAAGGGCTTAGTCTCCAAAATATACAAACAGTTCATACAACCACCAACAGAACAGCCCAATTGAAAAATGGGCAAAAGACATTAATAGGCATTTCTCCAAAGAAGACATACAGATGACCAGTAAGCCCATGAAAACTCAACAGCATTGATTATTAGAGAAATGCAAATCAAAACTAGAAGGTACCACCTCACACTGATCAGAATGACCATCATGAAAAAGTCTACAAATAACAAATGTTGGAGAGGGTGTGGAGAAAAGGGAACCCTCCTACACTGTTGGTAGGAATGTAAGTTGGTACAGCCACTGTGGAGAGCAGTGCAGAGGTTCCTCAGAAAACTAAAAATAGAATTACCATATGATCCAGAAATCCCACTCCTGGTCATATACCTGGACAAAGCTATAATTCAGAAGACACATGCACCCCTATGTTCCTAGCGGCACTATTTACAATAGTCAAGACATGAAAACAGCTAAATGCCCGTTGACAGATGAATGAATAAAGATGTGGTACATGTATAACTGGAATACTACTCGGCCACAAAAAATGAAATCATGCCATTTGCAGCAGCATGGATGCAATTAGAGATTATCATACTAAATGAAGTAAGTCAGAAAGAGAAAGACAAATATATGCAATCAGTATATGTGGAATCTAAAATATGGTGCAAATGAACCTATCTCAAGACAGAAACACTCACAGATGGAGAGAACAGATTTCTGGTTGCCACTGGGGAGGGAGATAGAAGAGGGAAGGACTGGAAGTGTGGGATTGGATATAAAATATTATATATAGGGTGGATAAACAAGGTCCTGCTGTATAGCACAGGGAACTCGATTCAACATCCTGTGATAAACCATAATGGAAAAAAACATGAAAGAATACGTGTGTATAACTGAGTCACTTTGCTATACAACAGAGGTTGGCACAACATTGTAAATCAACTATGCTTTTAATAAAAGATTAAAAAAATGAGGTCTTGTACCCCATGTCTGCTGCCCCAACTGGCCTGGGAGAGTCTCATCATTGCTACCTTGGGATGGGGAAACTGAGGCCCACAGAGAGGAAGCAGCTGAGCCAGACTGCACCAGGCCAGCCCCTGGACTCAGCGCCCCCCGGGCAGGCTCCCCAAGCGCTTTCTCAGCGCTGCCACCCCAACCCCCACCCCAAGACGTTGCTGCTTCTCCAGCCCAGGGAAGCCAGGCTGGGCTCCAGGCTGTGTCCGGGAGCTCCTGTGATGTCACGGCTGCTACCGTAGCTGCTGGGTCAGGGGCCACGAGGGCCATGGCCCTCAGAGGGCCCTGGACACTGCATCGTTGTGTCCCCTGCATGGAGCTCTCCTCTGGGCCCTGTTTGGAGGCAAGGCTGCCACAGGCTCCTCCACGCACACTCTCTGTGGCTTCCCCGGAGAACACAGCGAGGCTCTGGGGACCTGGCTCCTCTCTGACGCTATGTCCTCCTTCCCCTCCCCAGTACCTGCCACGGAAGAGCACCCCGAAGTGCAGGTGGAAGACGCTGATGCTGACAGTCGCCCCCTCATCGCAGAGGAGAACCCACCCTCTCCCGTGCAGCTGCCCCCGTCTCCTGCCAAATCTGACACCCTTGCAGTCCCAGGATCGGCCACAGGGAGCCTCAGGTCGCCTTCTATGCTTCTCTTGGATGTTTTGTAGCACTGTGCCATCTATGCGCTTCGTAGAAGAGGACACTGGGGCCAGAGAGGGGAAGAAACTGACCCAAGGTCACTCAGTGAGATGCTGTCAGCACTGGGGCCAGGGGCCTACCCCTTTCCGGGTCTTCTAATTCCTGGTTTCAGGCTCTAGAAAGAGGTCCCTGAGGAAGCCCTGTCCAGAATACCCTTGATTGTATGGTTTGAAGGGGGTAATAGATATGACAGGGCTAATATTATTGTTAAAAATGATAGTGGAAATACCAAAGAACTCTAGATACAATAACCATCCCTCATCCCACCACCCTAGGTTAGGTTGTGGTTTTATTTTTCTGCCCTCTCTTCCATACCTTATTTGTGGGCCCAGGCTTCTGAGTGGTTTTAATTGAAGGTATGATTGGGTCACATCTCATCTGAGACCACATCTTATTTATTGAGCCCTTTTCCATATTGCCAGGCTGTCACTGTGATGCTGTGTTGACATCTTCCAGCGCCACATGTCAGAACAGACCTAACAGTCCTTGCCTGTTGAATACTGTCCACCATGGTGCTGTGGACATCTCTCTGGTCTTCTGCCCTCTGTCCTTGGGCTCCTTCTCGAAAGTGAAATTCCTGCTCAGGGTTGCACACACTGTTGTGCTTCTTGAGATAAGTTTTTAGTTGCTTCATGGTTAGAGGTGGTTTTGGACAACCTGAGCCGGTTATCTGAGAACCTTCCTGTATAGAGCTATAGGCAGGCTGTGAGGTGCAGTACTGTCCTTTGTGAATGATTATTTAAGCTAAAGAAGAGCCACCAGTGCCTTTCCTTTGCTGGCTGGATTGAGAGATGGTTCCTTTTTCTTCATTAATTCTTGCTCTCATCCATGACCTTTTGAGTAATTTCTCAGCTGAAGTCAGGCGCCTGCTGGGATAGAAATGGCTGGATGTGGTCAACAGAAAGTTCCTAGATTTTAATGTGGAGAAGAGAGGCATAATCTCACCTGGCCTCAGAACACAGCTCACAGACGCATCAGTCCTTATGGTTAATTCATTGAATCAAATACAGAGTATAGATGGCAGAAGATAAGGCACTACCGTGGCTGTAGACATTTGGTCTACCTCCCTCTAGTCCCTTTATTAGGGTGGAGAAACTGTACAGGTTGGGTTAGAGATGGATACTGGGGAGCAGGGAGGGGACTAAGGTTACATGGGGCTAGAATCCAACCTCCTACCTTTTGCTTATGAGCTGGGTCTCTGAGGCTCCTCTGGTTATCATTCATTTGCAGACATTTTTTGAACATCTTTATGTGCCAGCCTCTGCTCTAGGTGCTGTAGATGCATCAGGGAGAAGCCTGTCCTAATAGAGCTGATATTCTAGTGCGGTGGAGATAGTGAACAAGTAATCACACAAGACTCTTCCAGGGAGCTGCTAAGCAGAACATGACTGTGAGAAACTGGAGAAGCCTCAGCCTGAGCTTGCCCCCAAGAAGGAATTCTGACGCCTGACATGAGAGACCGATGGGGCTGTCTGTGGTCAGGGATGGAATGAACATGGGGCAATTGATGGGAGCAGGGAAGCCACCCAAACAGAGGGGTAGAGGGGGGCATGTGGGCAAGGCCCTTCTCACAGCGCAAAGCTGTGGTTTGGAGTGAATCCCAGGTCACCACTTACCAGATGTGAGGCTTAAAGCAAGTCATTCGATCTTCCTAGCCCCCTTCTTTCCATGAGAAGATGGGGATGAAACATTCCCTGTACCTTAGGAATGTGAAAATTCAACCAACTCCTGTAAGTGAAGTGCTTAGCACAGGGCCAGGCCCTGGGCAGTGCTGGGGGAACAGAGGTTCTAACTGACTTCCACTCTCTGGACTCTCTCCAGGCCCTCGGAAGGCACTGGGCTGAGGGCAGGAGGGCTGAGTTTAAGTCCGAGTTGTGAGATTTCTGCCCCAGTCTTCTTGTGTGCAGGCATCCTTTTTTTCAGTATTTATTTATTTACTTGACTATCAGTCAGTTCAGTCGCTCAGTCGTGTCCGACTCTTTGAGACCCCATGCACTGCAGCACACCAGACTTCCCTGTCCATCACCAACTCCCAGAGCTTCCTCAAACTCATGTCCATCGAGTCGGTGATGCCATCCAACCATCTCATCTGCTGTTGTCCCCTTCTCCTTCCACCTTCAGTTTTCCCAGCGTCAGGGTCTTTTCCCTGATAACTGTTTGGCTATGCCAGGTCTTAGTTGTGGCATGTGGGATGTAGCACCCTGACCAGGGATTGAACCCGGGTCCCCTGCATTGGGAGTGCAGAGTTTTAGCCACTGGACCACCAGGGAAGTGCCCCTGCAGGCCTCCTTTTAATTAGAGTGTAAAAGAGGCAAACCCATGAGCTTTGCCATTTTAGTTGAGTTGGCAGAAGATAACAGGGTAGTTCCAGAGTCTTCCGGAATAAAGCAAATGCTGCACATCCTTCTGACTGTATCCCTCTAGAAGCCCTAATGGTGGAATCCTGAGTCACGGTGGTGGGGAATAGTAGGAGTACCACATGTATTCAAATCTAGATACCGTCAGCCGAGACACCAGTAGTTCCAAATGCAACACTGGTGGACTTGGACTGAATGGTGGCGACCCAGGATAATTTAGTCTTCATCCTTCAGATACGGAAGAGGGAGCTCCGGGAGGGGATGGGGCTTGTCCCAGGTCATACCACGTGTGAGAACAGACTCCATGGCCTGTGGATGTCAGTTTTTCCAATCAGGGACACATCTGTTAAGGGAGGGAAGCTGAGCTTCTGGGAGAGTTAACAGGATGGAATGTGAGCCCTCACACCTTATTGGAGGCTGGAAGGGTGGTGTGATGGAGAAAGAGGTGGGGGTGGACTGGGGAGCTCGGTGCCTGTGCTGTCAGACTGGGTGGTGGAGGGAGAAGGATGTTTAAAATGAGACCTGACTGAGTGATAAGCACCTCATTGAGCTGGTTAGATTTGGTCCCATTTTGAGCTTCCCTGGTAGCTCAGCTGGTAAAGAATACACCTGCAATGCGGGAGACCTGGGTTTGATCCCTGGGTTGGGAAGATCCCCTGAGGAAGGCATGGCAACCCACTCAAGTATTCTTGCTGGAGAATCCCCATGGACAGAGGAGCCTGGGGGCTACAGTAGTCCATGGGGTCACAAAGAGGCGGACAAGACTAAGCAACTAAGCACAGCACACACAGTCCCATTTTACAGAGGGGAAAGCTGAGGCAACTCAGAGAGTTTAAGTGACTTGCCAAGGTCACATACTGGGAAGAAGCAGGGCTGGGGAGCAAACTTGGGTTTGCCTGATACTGGGTCAGTGCTGTTACTTTTATGGGAGGCCGCTGAACGGATGCAGAGACTAAGGTCCGGAGGTCGGCTGTGTCCCCTCTTCTCCCTTTCTGTTTCCCTGCAGGCAGCGAGGACCCTTGGGCAGCACCATCCTCTGCCCCCACCTCCCACCCAGGATTTGCTCTGGGTGATCTGCAGGGCTCCAAGTTGGCTCCCCGCTTGTGTCTCCTGCCTCCCTGAAGTCCCTTTCCATGTCTGTATTCTTGCAGGAAGAGGCTGCCTTCCCAAGATGATGAGGCTGAAGAGCTCAAGATGCTGTCACCAGCTGCATCCCCTGTGGTCGCCTGGTCGGACCCCACCAGCCCACAGGGCACTGAGTAAGTGGGGGCCGCCTCTGGGGTCTCAGGGAGTCAGAAGTCTGGGTTGGGATGGACAAGCAAAGGGAGGTGAGCTGAGGAGAGCATGGATGTTTTTAGAACACTCTGCCTGAAGGCAGACTGTGCCAGTGGTTTCCAAGCAGTAAGGGTGGGCGGGGTCCCCTGCCCTGGCTGCTTCTGGCTGGCCCAACAGTTGTCAAAATCTGGTCTGCAGAATGGGCCTGGGCTCTGGGCCTCCTGTGTCCTGAACCACAGAGGGTGGACCTGGGGAAGCCAGGTGTTTATAAGCTTCTCAGGGGATTCCAATGCAGCTGGTCCATGGAACAATGTTTAAAGGCCACTGTGAGGGCATCAGGGCCTGTGTCTCTGACATCTGACCATCTCAAGGGCTGGGCCAGTGGGAGATGTTTTCCTAAAGGGCCTATGTAGGCTAGTGACAATGAATCCCCCAGCCCTGGGCTCTGGCCTGGGCATCTCACCTCCTCCCCAGCCACGCTCCTGGAGTGACCTCAGGAAACCATGGCCTTTCCTTCGAGTCTTTTTTTCCTGCCTGTAATTTTATGGAGTTTATGCTTAGCAGTATCACGGAAAGTTCAGAAAATCCAAAGAAGCAGGAAAAAACCCCAAACCTCACCTATCACCCAGTGATTCCTTTTAGTTACAGTGGAGTCTCATCGTATGCAATAGGATCAGGGTGGGGTTAGATCATAGGGTTCATATCAGAAGATAAGGCGGAAATCATGTAGAATGATACAAATTCCCTTGGGGAAAAAAGCTCTTAAGGTGGTCAGCATGGAGCCCTAGGTATTCCCTCAGTAGGTTAAGATGCTATAGCAGATAGACCTCAGTGTTTCAGTTCCTTAAGGAACAAGATGTCTCATGTCAGAGGTGTCACCAGATGCGTATTTCAGGGTCAGTGCACGACTCTGCTCTCTGCAGTCATTTAAGGACCCAGCCAACAGTGGCTCTGCCATCTTTCTGTGGCTTTTGAGATCTCCCTGGTCAGACTGGAAAGGGAGAGTGCCAGGCTGCTCTTCCATGAGGAGGCCTGGAGTTGCGCATGGCTTGTGCACGGAAGAAAGCTGACATGGCCACACCTGGGCATCGGGGCCCCTGGCTGGGTGGTGACTGCTCCCCAAGGTGGGTGACCAGTTCATGTCTCCTCCACCCCGGGCGCCATCTCTCACTACGACCCCACACTGCCTGTCTCCAGCTCAGCTGAACACAAGAGGAGTAGCTGGCTTGAGTTTCAGTGCCTCAATGTATGAAAGAAACAGTAGATCTGTAAAGACTAGTGTCACCATCAGCTCAGCAAGAGGATCACAGGCCACTCCGCAGAGAACATGGAGCTAGGCTGATTCACACGGCCTCCCATCTCAACTCACCCAGGGCTCTGGACCCACGCTGAGCCGACTGTCAGGCAGACTCTCATTCATTCTGTCTATGTCTGTCTCTCTTGATGCAAGTTCATACATTTTAAAGTCCTGTATATTAAAAGGATTTGGAATGTATCTGTAATGTTTTTTTTTGATTTTCATTGAATTAAACTAATTAATTATTTTGCCCATGCTGCATGGCTTGTGGGATCTTAGTTCCCTGACCAGGGATCAAACCCACGACCTTGGCAGTGAGTGCTCAGAGTCCTAACCACTGGACCACCAGGGAATTCCCTGCATTGTTTTTTTAATCAGCTATTTCCTAAACCTCAAAAAGTAGCCCCTGTCCCCTCTCTGATTGGTCCTGTATCTCATGTGAACCCCAAACTGAGTCTAACGGCCCTGAATTGAGTTCCAAGAGTTGCCCCCTAAATCACAAGTGGAATCCCAAGTTTTTCAGAATTGCCCATCTGAATCAGAGCCTGCATGGTACATTTCCTAAAATCTGGGTATCCCGGTGCAATTCCCAGGCTGAATTTCCTCCCAGGAGATACTAGGGTGGGTTTGATGTTTTGATGTCAAGAGGGAGACTGGGGCAGGATTGACCCCCTCAGGCCAGGTGGGATACAGATTCTGCCCTTGCCTGCGGGCGCAGGGGTCCCTCCCTACACAGTCCGCTCAGCTCTGGGTGCTGTTTCCACAGTGATCAGGACCGTGCAACCTCCACAGCCAGCCAGAACAGTGCCATCATCAATGACCGGCTCCAGGAGCTGGTGAAGCTTTTCAAGGAGCGGACAGAGAAGGTGAAGGAGAAGCTCATCGACCCTGATGTCACCTCCGATGAGGAGAGCCCCAAGCCCTGTGAGTCCAGAACTGGTGATGGTCTACCAGACCCAGGGTGCGGTGGGGCCCCTGGAACCCTCTTTCAACTCATGGGGAGGGTGGCCCAAGAAAATGGTGGGGGTGCTTGAGAGAAGTGCAGATCTCCACTCTCTGGAATTTGAGATCCTTTATGTACAGGTTTAGCTACGTGTTCAGGGGAGGAAAGAAGGTCAGAGTTCTGGCCGATGATCCAGTTGTACTTAGCTCTGCCTCCCAGAGGGCAGGTTCCCTGGTTGACCCTCTGCCCGCTTCCTGCTGGCAGGCAGGTAGGTGGATCACCCTGGGATGTATGTTATGGTCTTACACTCAGATGGTATCCATAACCCACTCTGGAACCACACAGTCTTAGTTTTCAAAGGCCTTGGTTACAATATTTATTTGGAAGTTTTCTCCTTTCAGAGTGCCAGGACGAAATAAGAACCACGCTGTCTTGCCAGGGAGGTTTTCTAGGTTTTTCCAAAGGAGGGCTATGCCTTTGAACTCAAAATATCGACAATGAACCTAGCAGAACCTGACTTCATAATCCTAAAGCTAGAAACATAGCCATATTGAATCTTTAAGAGCCAGTCTCTAGTTCACCAACAAACATCTCCATAGATGCACAGGAAGGCTGTGATCCCTTTCAGTATCTTGTTTTAGAGACGAAGGAGCTGAGATTCCTGTGCCGAAAAACCTAGGGCAATGTTTTCCTGATTCCTGGGGGTGGAAGTTCTGGGTACTAATGTCCCCCCACCTCCAGGGAGAACCAGGGTGTCCAAACACAGACACACAAGCAGACACTCAACTGAAACACCCAGCTTGCCCAGAAGCACTTCATTTTAGGCAGCTCCTGAGCAGTGGTCCCCTATTGGTAGTAGGTAAGCATTTCAGAGCAGGTGCTCAGACTGCTATTTAAGAGGATCTGTGGGGTTTGCTGCAGGAGAACACACAGACCTTGTGGCTGGTTGTGGAGAACTGCCAGGGTCCCCTCAGCTCCAGCTCCAGTGTCTGCAGTTGGGGGCCATGTCTTTGCATCCTCGGCCTGAGCCCTGGGGCTCGGTCAGAGGGTCACCAGTGTCATCCCACAGCCCCAGCCAAAAAAGCCCCAGAGCCGGCCCCGGAAGTGAAGCCAGCTGAAGCGGGGCAGGCAGAGGAGGAGCACTACTGTGAGATGCTCTGCTGCAAGTTCAAACGCCGCCCCTGGAAGAAGTACCAGTTTCCCCAGAGCATCGACCCGCTGACCAGTGAGTCCTGGGAGGGCAGTGGGCGTGACCACACGTCATGGAGGGGGTGGGGCAGGGCAGGGGCGGGGCGGGGGGAGGGGCCCAAACAAACAAGTCCCTGGAGTAGGAGGAATACGGCACCCGTCTTAACAGGCCAGGAAACTAAGGCACAGAGGAGTTAACTGGCCTAAAGACACAACTAGTCAGCAGCGGACTCCGGACTCCTGCCTCTTGGCCAAGTCTTTTTTCTACTCTGCCCTTACTGGCTCCTTTCCCGGATCTGCTGCTCTGAGCAGAGGAGAAAAAGTCTTCCAACATCTCAAGTAAAGTGCCTCTCACTTGCCTTTTAGCTCATTTTATATTCTTCGGGAATAACAAGCCTTCATATGTGCACAGCACTTTACAAAGGGTTTCCCTGCCTTTTCTTCCTTTTTTTAAAAATCTGACTTCTCCGGTGACTTCCCTGAGGAGGACAGAACAGGGACCGGGGAGGGACTTTCCCAGGGTCACACATAAGTCACTGAGAGGCAGGACTCCGAGCCTGGCGTCCACAGGTCCTTTAAAATGCCCAGGTGGGGGGACTTCCCTTTGGGTCCAATAGTTAGGATTCTGCACATTCATTGCAGGGGGCACTGGTTCAGTCCCTGTTCAGGGGACTAAGATCCCACAAACTGCTAGATGTGGCCAAAACATAAAAGTAAATAAATAAAAAATGCCCACGTGACCTACAGTATCCATCCCTCCATGCACCTGTCCGTGTATCCATCTGTCCATTTTCTATGCATTGTTCACTACTGTGTATTTAGGAAGGCAGGAAATTTTTGGAAAATTTTTGGAAAAAGTTCAACCAGAGTGAGATCAAAAGTGTTTTCTGTTAGCTGTCTATGAACTAGTAATGACCTCACATCCCCTACTGAGAATACTCAGTTTGTTAGGGCCTAGCTGTGATTTATTTTCACATCAAAGATAGTTTTTTATGCTCCCCTCCGACCAGGCTTCCCTGGTGGCTCAGTCTGTAAAGAAACCGCCTGCAATGCAGGAGACACAGGTTCAGTCCCTGGGTCGGGAAGATCCCCTGGAGAAGGGAATGGCAACCTACTCCAGTATTCTTGTCTGGAGAATCCCATGGACAGAGGAGCCTGGTAGCCTATAGTAGTCCATGGGGTCGCAAAGAACTGGACACGACTGAATGACTAACACTTTCACTCTCCCTCAAGAAGGGCCACATTTAGAGCTGGTAAGAAAGTGCAGACTGAAAAGTGGAAATAAGAAAGCCCCGTCCCGATCGCACAGCGAGGCGAGGAGCCCTTCTCCGGCTGAGGTTCCAGCACCTTCCCTCCCCCACCCCTGCAGACCTGATGTACATCTTGTGGCTCTTCTTCGTGGTGCTGGCCTGGAACTGGAACTGCTGGCTGATTCCCGTGCGCTGGGCCTTCCCCTATCAGACGCCGAGCAACATCCACCTCTGGCTGTTGATGGATTACCTGTGCGACCTCATCTACCTCTTGGACATCACCGTGTTCCAGATGCGCCTGCAGTTTGTCAGAGGCGGGGACATCATTGTGAGTCACAGCCGGGTTGGTGGGGGGTGCTGGGGGCAGACGCTGCCGCCAGAGCCCCTGATGCTAGGATGGACAAGAAGCTAAATGAACTGGGAAATCTCAGGACATCCACTCGTGCCTATTCAACAGCATGGTTATTTGTTTCACACATCTTTGATACATCTGAATTACACACATCTTCATTTGTGGGGAAGATGGTTCCTGGACCACCTGATGGAATTAGAGATGAAGAAGTAGTCTAGAGAATGGTCTCCAGAGTAGGCAGACCTGGTTCAAATCTTGGCTGTATGAGAACTGTGTTACCTGTCAGAGCCTCAGTTTCCTCATCTGTAAAATGGGGATAGTAATTGTTCTCACCTCTTACCATTGCTGTGAGGCTCCATGGAGGTGATTTATGCAGAGTGCTCAGCAGAGGAAACTGCTGACAATCGACATTTCCTGGGGCAGCAGGGGAGGGTCCTGCAAAAAGTACACTCCTCAGACCAGTTGGGGAGTCCATGTTCTGGTGTGCTTTCTGGGGAGGAAACCAAAATCCTGACTGTGATGTGGCAAAGTCCCCATCTCCCTGTGTAGGTCATTTTTCAAAATTCCATGTGGGTGGAGCTGGGTCTCCTCTGTGTACAGACAAGTTGAGGTTGAGCTTCTAAAATAATTCACAGGAAGAAGAATTCCCTGGGGCAACCTCTTTCCTGGTCTGATCAGAGCAGTGAATAAGGTTGCAAACGATCCAGGTGAGGCTAACGTGCTGAGAGAGTAAGGTCAGCGTCCCCACTTTCCATCCAAGAAGCCGGAATCAAGCTGAGTGACCTTGGATGACACACCCCCACTCCACCTTGGGGAGCTTAATCTCCCCATCTGTAGATTTTCACCAAGCTCCGCTGGTCCATTCAGTGGCTCTGCACCCATGGGGCTGTTATTTGGATAGGAAGATGGAGGTTGGGCGGGAATTTACATCACTGCTCCAGTGGGGTCAGGGGGAAGCTCTCAGGCCATTTCACAGTCATTATTCCATTTCATTCCAGACGGACAAAAAGGAGATGCGCAACAATTACCTGAAATCTCAGCGCTTTAAGGTGTGTGCCAGGGGTCTCAGGAGGCTGTGTCTCTGGGGGCCCCAGGTGTTTTGAGGCCAGTGTGATGTGGCTTCCCCCACAGGGCCAGCATGGGCTGGGGCTTGCTGGTGGGATACCTGCTGCCCTAGTTTTAGCCCCTCCGCGGGCGTCCTGACCTCGCCTTTCCATTGAAGGTGGAGACCCCCGTCACCCACCCCATCCCACAACCCTGGGAATTACACGCTGTTTTATACACTGTGGTGTCCTGTTGGCATTTCAGATGGACATGCTCTGCCTCTTGCCCTTGGACTTACTCTACTTGAAATTCGGTGTGAATCCCCTGCTGCGCTTGCCCCGCTGTTTGAAGGTAAGACGAGTGGGCTTCCCCATCCAAGGCCTCCAGCTCCTCTGGTGCTTTGCACTGGTGCCAACATCTTGATGCCTGGTCTAAGCAGTACTGGTGAGGCATCAGGAAAGGGTGGCTGCAAGGGATGATGGGAAGTTCCTTATGATTGTAAGTGCTTCTTCACTGTGCTGTGTGTTAGATATTGTTCTGGAGGCTTTACAAGTGCTTACTCCTCAATTCCATGAGGTGAGGGTTATTAGTACTAGCAACAACTAATGGTGATGCAGGAGTTGGGCCACACGTTCAGATCCATCCTGGCTCCCCCTCCCACTGAGGGGCTGCAGAAAGAACCCTCAGTCCTGGCAGCTGTGGGGAGTGGGTGGGGAGGGGAGGGCAGCGGGCCACCCCTGATGCCTTGCTCTTCCTCCCAGTATATGGCCTTCTTTGAGTTTAACAACCGCCTGGAATCCATCCTCAGCAAAGCCTACGTTTACAGGTGAGACCCCCTACATGTGCACACACGTGCACACACATGTCCCAGGATATTTGCAGCAAGAAGACAGCAAGACATTCTCTATCCCATCCCTACCCCTTTCAGCATCCCCCGGCTCCCAGGCCCCCTAAGCCACTACCACCCGCCGGAAGCCAGGCCTCTTCCTCATCCTTCTTTGAAGGGATGTTTGTTTTTTAAAGATCCAGGAATGTCCCGTTTCCCGCAATTGTGAGGAGGGCACATGCAGGTTGACGTGTGTGGCTCCCCTGCATATCCAGGGAGCTGGGCCTCGATTTGGTTTCAGCTCAGGAAACTGACCCCCCCCAAACACTCAAACATGGGTGGTGGGCTGTAGGGACACAGTGGGCCATCTTGCAGATGCCCTGGCTTGGAACACAGCACAAACCAGGCCACGCTGGAGGACAGGGCTCCTCTTGATACTTCTCAGGGACAGCGCTTCTCCACATGCATGTCCTTTCTTGGCGCGCCCCCCTCGCCCCTGCCCAATGCATTCCCCCCTCAGCTCCTCCACTTCCCCAGAATTGCCTGCACAGGTAGCTCTGTGCTACTTCTGGGTACCAGGCTTGACAACGTTCTGTTGGAGCATCACCATTCCTAGCCAGCACAGTCTCAGTAGAGCAGCCAGTAGGCCCTGTAGTATAGCCACCGGTTCCCATGGGCCAAGTGCCCATCGCACCAGGCAGCTGGGCAGGGCCTTGCGGCTCCGACACGGGGATCTCTGCGGGTTCTGGGGAAGGTGAGGACTCGCCTGTTCCCTGCAGTCCCCACCCCTGGGCTGAGATGTCATTGCCAGCTTTTCAACTGCTGCATTCGTGCCTTCCTTCTTCTGCAGGGTTATCAGGACCACAGCCTACCTGCTCTACAGTTTACATCTGAACTCATGTCTGTATTACTGGGCGTCGGCCTATGAGGGCCTCGGCGCCACTCACTGGGTTTATGATGGCGTGGGAAACAGGTGAGCCGCAGTCTTCCTCCTGTGTCTTAATAATTCATGGCACCAAGACCCCTAGAGAGGAGTCCTGCTGCCGCCATGTTGCCGGGTCACCTCGTTCCCAAGGAATCAGTGCCCGGCCATAGTGGGCACTTGGTCAGCTGTGGTGACAGAGGAGAGGAAGAGTTCAGGCCCAAGGGGCTGCGAGTCCCCTCAGGCAGGCCTCGCCTCACTCTGGGCTGTGCCCTCAAGTGATGCAAAATGCTCTCCATCCAACTCGTCAACACTTTGACCTCCTCCTTACACTTGCTTCTAGCTGGTGCAAGAACAGGTGATTGCTCGCATCCAAGGTAGCTTCTTAAAAAAAAAAAAAAAGGTTTGTTTATTTCCTTTTGGTAGTGCTGGGTCTTCATTACTGCACATGGGCTTTCTCTGGTTGCGGTGAGTCAGGGGCTACTTTCTAGTCACGGTGAGCAGGCCTCTCATTGTGCTGGCTTCTCTTGTTTCGGAGCACAGGCTCTAGGCATGCAGGCTTAGTTACTCTGTAGTATGTGGGACTTTCCTGGTTCAGGGATCAAACCCGGGTCCCCTGCATTGGCAGGCAGATTTTTAACCACTGGACCAGCAGGGAAGTCCCAAGGTGGCTTCTTTATAGAGTGGCTGTTGGTCCAGAATGTCCCCTTCTCAAGCCAAATGCCTCAGTACTCGGCCACAGTGACCTGTCACCTGAGATGGGCCTGTGGCCTGAGGGGAGCTCACCGAGTCTGAGGGTCCAGGGCAGCCCAGCAGGCAGGAGGGGGAACCTGACATCCGCTGTGGGATGCTATGTGTTGGGGGTGGGATCAGGGCCCAACACCCTGACACCACCACTGACCCTGCCCCTGTTCCCCTTGGCTGAACCCACCCACAGCCGTGGTCCAGAGACCATGACTAGACCATTCATTCATTCATTCACTCACTCATTCATTCATTCATCCCCTCACAAAGGGGCAGAGGCAGGACTCAAAGGCCTTCTGTGCAAAGGGAAGAACAGAAGCTATTCATTAAATCTTGCTCTGTGACTTTGGGTAAGGCCCTTACCCTTTCTGAGGCTCAGTTTTCTCATCTATAAAATGGGGGTGGGATCACACAGATTTCTCATGAGAAATAAATAAATTAGTGTGTGTAACACATCTAACCCGTGCCTGGACAGGAGTCAGTGACCCCACTTCCTAGGTATGGTCATTCTTAAGGGGAAGCCAGCACACTAGGAACCTAACCTAGGTTCCTAACCTAACAAACCCCCCTTGAAATCAGAACTGAATTTTGGGAGCATGCTGACTTCTAAGGAGAAGCTTCCTAACTGTCCTTAAATTCTCAGAGGGGTTCATATGCCACCTGGCTAAGAAGCCATTTCCCAGGGCAGGGCCTGGCACCCATCTCAGGCAGGCCTGCAAGGAATGGCAGGCAGAGTGGAGAAGACAGGGCTGGCTCTCTGGGACTTCTTGTGCAGTGGAGAGGCACACTTTCCTGGCAGCATTACCCTTTCCAAATAAAATCCTACAGGGAAACCCAAGATATGCAAAAGCACAACTAGTGAAGGAGAATTCCTCTAAAAATCCAATATCATTCATCATAATAACTTTCAAAATAGCATTTCTTGAATGCCTGCTATAGTCCAGGGGGCCTAAGGACCTAAGCTCCTATATATTTGGTTTCTTCATCCTGCTTTGTGTTGGCCAGGTCTGGGGCAATATGCAGGGATCCCCACAGGTCTACTGGCATGGAATACTCAAGAGAGTAGCTGGCTTCTCTAGTCAGGAAGGGCTTCAGGGAAAGCCAGAGCTATGTGGATCACTCATCTTTATTCTGCTGGTGGCCCAGCAGCACCCAGCACCCAGGCAGTGCCCAATTCAGTCCCCCTAAAGGGGACTTGATTTTCTTAATTCTCAAGAAAATTAGAGATACCTAGGGAACATTTCATGCAAAGATGGGCACAATAAAGGATAGAAATGGTATGGACCTAACAGAAGCACAAGATATTAAGAAGAGGTGGCAAGAATACACAGAACTATACAAAAAAGATCTTCATGACCCAGATAACCACGATAGTGTGATCACTCACCTAAAACCAGACATCCTGGAATGCAAAGTCAAGTGGGCCTTAGGAAGCATCACTACGAACAAAGCTAGTGGAGGGGATGGAATTCCAGCTGAGCTATTTCAAACCCTAAAAGTTGATGCTGTGAAAGTGTTGCACTCAATATGCCAGCAAATTTGGAAAACTCAGCAGTGGCCACAGGACTGGAAAAAGTCAGTTTTCATTTCAAAGAAGGGCAAGGCCAAAGAATGTTCAAACCACCTCACAATTGCACTCATCTCACACGCTAGCAATGTAATGCTCAAAATTCTCCAAGCCAGGCTTCAACAGTACGTGAACCATGAACTTCCAGATGTTCAAGCTGGATTTAGAAAAGGCAGAGGAACCAGAGATCAAATTGCCAACATCTGTTAGGTCACAGAAAAGGCGAGAGAATTCCAAAAAAACTTCTGCTTTATTGATTACACCAAAGCCTTTGACTATGTAGGTCACAACAAACTGTGGAAAATTCTTCAAGAGATGGAAATACCAGACCACCTTACCTGCCTCCTGAGAAATCTGTATGCAGGTCAAGAAGCAATAGTTAGAACCAGACATGTAACAACAGACTGGTTCCAAATTGAGAAAGGAGTACGTCAAGGCTGTATATTGTCACCCTGCTTATTTAACTTATATGCAGAGTACATCATGAGAAATGCTGGGCTAGAAGGAGCACAAGCTGGAATCAAGATTGCCAGGAGAAATATCAATAACCTCAGATATGCAGATGACACCACCCTTATGGCAGAAAGTGAAGAAGAACTAAAGAGCCTCTTGATGAAAGTGAAAGAGGAAAGTTTAAAAGCTGACTTAAAACTCAACATTCAAAAAACTAAGGTTATGTCATCCAGTTCCATCACTTCATGGCAAATAAATGGGGAAACAATGGAAATAGTGACAGACTTTATTTTCTTGGGCTCCAAAATCACTGCCGATGGTGACTACAGCCATGAAATTAAGACGCTTACTCCTGGGAAGAAAAACTATGACCAACCTAGACAGCATATTAAAAAGTAGAGACATTACTTTGCCAACAAAGGTCTGGCTAGTCAAAGCTATGGATTTTCCAGTAGTCATGTATGGATGTAAGAGTTGGACTATAGAGAGATGAGCATCAAATAATTGATGCTTTTGAACTGTGGTGTTGGAGAAGACTCTTGAGAGTCCCTTGGGCTGCAAGGAGATAAAACCAGTTAATCCTAAGGGAAACCAGTCCTGAATATTCATTGGAAGGACTGATGTTGAAGCTGAAGCTCCAACACTTTGGCCACCTGATTCGAAGAACTGACTCATTTGAAAAGACCCTGATGCTGGGAAAGATTGAAGGTGGGAGGAGAAGGGGACGACAGAGGATGAGATGGTTGGATGGCATCACCGACTCAATGGACATGAGTTTAAGCAAGCTCCGGGAGTTGGTGATGGATAGGGAAGCCTGGCATGCTGCAGTCCATGGGGTCACAAAGAGTTGGACACGACTGAGCCACTGAACCGAGCTGAACTGAAAGGCTGCTTAGCATGCCCCCTGGTGGCCAGAACTGGTATGATGGGGGATTGACAGGGCAGACCTGTCACGGGTATATTTTCTTGGACCAGGTGTTAATGAGGGGCTGGGAGGCGTAGCGAGAGCCCTGCCCTAGGCCTCACAATTATTCAGAGGCCAAGACCCCCACTGCCCAACTCCCCCAAAACCTCTGCTTCTCCACCCATCCCCCAGTACTCACTGCACATTGACACGCCTACGCCCACTAGATATTAAACTTCGTGAGGTCACAGGCCAGTCTGTTATTCTCCACTGCTGGAACCAGTGACAGTGAAGGTGCTGACAGCTGACGCTTCCTGAGGGCCCACCACGGGCCAGGTCCTCTTTTCACCTCACGTCATCCTCGTGATTGCCCTGTGAAGGATGGTCTACGGCCATGCCCCTTTCAAAAAAGGACACTGTGGCTTGGCGAGATGGGTTACTTAATGCAGTTAGTAAGTGGCAGAGCTGGGTTTGAGCCTAGGCAGTCCGCTCCAGAGCCCATGATCTAACCATAATACTGCATAAATAGCTGGTGAACAGAACCCAGGGGAGGACCAGTTTGGGATCAATCTCGGACCAGATGATTGGCCAGTCAGATGATGTTCTCCATTTCCTGGTGAAGCAGGGACCCTGGCAGCATGGATATATCAGGACACTGGGGACAGGGAAGGCTCTGGGCAGTTCCTGTGCTCTGGTAGGACGACAGGAAGTATAGGAAAGCCTGCTGAGAATGCCCTGAGTTTAGGCCCTGCTGACCTCAATCTTGCTGACCCCTGGAAAGGCATGGTCTGAAGGTCTGAACATAAGCATCTTGGTAATTAAATCCGTTTACATAGCTATAAAGGTTTTACTTCTGTATTGATTAAGTTACTATAAAAGCTTAGGTTTATTTTTGTAGGACTTAATGGCTAGGAATTAGAACAGTGAGGCTGCTCTGTTGGAATAATGTAAACTTGCAATTATTAATAAACATGCAAACCTTTAAAACTCAAAAAATAGTGAGGGAGGGACTTTTGCTACTTTGTGATGCTTACACAAGCTTGGGCATTTCTTATACCTTGTGCCACACAGCAGGACCCCATCGGCCACCTCCCTTCCTGATGGCTCATGCGTCTGTGTCAAGGGGTTAGTGATGACAGCTTAGAGAGAAGGTGACACCTGTTTTCCAGCCCCAGCCCTGGAACTTGCCAGCTGGTGACCATGGGTGTTCCCTTTCCTTTGTGGCCCACAGTTTCACTCTCTGGTTAGTGGACAGGAGAGGGGGGGGGTCAGAAAAGGTGACCCTCGAGATATCTTCCAATTTTGAGCTTGTTCTTGAACCTCATGATGGGAGAGCAAAGCAGAGACTCTGGACTTTGAAAACACATGGAGGGAAACTGAAGGAGCCCAGGCACCAGGAGCCAGAAAACCCTGGTTTATTCTCCTGCCAAGTCTTCCAGGCAATCTCTGGAAGCCTCAGTTTCCACATCTGTAAATGGGGATGACAGCATGTCTCTACAGGGTCGGGGCAGAGTCAGGACCAAATCACATAGCACCTGCAGACAGGCACTGCACGCTGCAGAGGGCTCTGCGGTTGGGAGAGAGTCCCCCCTTTTTTGGGAGTGGTCCCCCCTTTTTTTGCACTCATGAGCTATAAAGCTTTTTCTCTCTTGTACAATGTATATATATTCAAGCCAGATTGCCCAGGATCCACAGGCTGAGTCTGTGATGACTGAGGTCCCCTTCCTCTTCTCTCCGCAGTTACATTCGCTGTTACTACTGGGCTGTGAAGACCCTCATTACCATCGGCGGCCTGCCCGACCCCAGGACACTCTTTGAAATTGTCTTCCAGGGTCTAAATTATTTCACGGGCGTCTTCGCTTTCTCCGTGATGATCGGACAGGTAGCTGGGCCACTAGTCTGTCCTGATCCACCTGCCTGCAGGGCCCCTCTCCCTCCCGCTGCTGCCAGAAACGTCACCATCTGTGCCTGTTCCTTTCAGACCAAGCCCAGGAAAGAGCACTGGGCGGAGAGTCAGGAGCCTGGAGCTCTGGGACCAGCAGGGTGAAGGAGTGGTGATGGAGGTGTAGGTCCCGCTTTCTCTCTGAAGGTTCTTCTCGTTTGAAATGTCAGCCTCTGGGGGTATCTGGAGAGCTGGGCCCAGTGGCTTCCTACAGAGGCTGAGGATTTGGGCTGTTGGCCTGGAGAGAAGCCCTTGGTGGATTCTAACGTGCGGGGCCCTGGCGTGCGGCTCACCTTGTTGTAGTGCATGAGGCGACCACCAGGAGTCCTCAGTGTTACCTTTGAGGGCTCTGCCCCAAGGAGCAGAGCACCTGCTTCCCATTTCCTCCCGCGGGTGGTCAAAGTGGCCTCTAAGAAGTCACTTTGGTACCAGGATCGGCCCAGCCCAGCGAGACCTTCCCTCGTGTGGCCCCAGGGACCTAAGCCCACCTGAAGGGCCAGCAGCCTCGCTCCTCCACGTCTACCCTGGGTCAGCGAAACCTCTAAGTGTGGACATGGGTTTCCCTCTCTCCTGATCTCCTACCAGCCCGGCAAGCGTGCACCCGGGGGCCTGTGTTACATTAATGTGCCCACAACCCAGGTCTCCGAAGCCCCGCCCCACTCTGACCCAGTGGCTTCCCTGACCACCACCCCCCGACCCCCCCCAGATGAGAGACGTAGTGGGGGCCGCCACCGCGGGACAGACCTACTACCGCAGCTGCATGGACAGCACCGTGAAGTACATGAACTTCTACAAGATCCCCAAGTCCGTGCAGAACCGGGTCAAGACCTGGTACGAGTACACCTGGCACTCCCAAGGCATGCTGGGTAAGGCCACGCCCCTCCTCCCCACCCAGCCCCACCCCCAGGGCCCCGCCCTCCTGGGCCCCGCCCCTGTCCTCTGTCCCCGAGGCCCCGAGCGTGGGGGCCTCTCTGGGCTGCGGCCCCAACATGTAAGTGAGATGCCTGGGGAGGCCTTGGGAGGTGCCCAAGCTAGGCCATGAAGAGACCCCCTGAAGACCTGAGGGGCTTGTCTTCTGAGTGCCCTCCTCCACCTTGAAATGCATCTTCATTCAAAGATGGAAGTGCAGTTGGAACCAAGAAGGGAAGAACACTGTCTCTATCTCTCTCACCTTTCTTGCTCTCCATATACAAGAAGTCGCTAAGTCGTGTCTGACTCTTTTGTGACCCCGTGGACTGTAGCCTGCCAGGTTCCTCCATCGGTGGGATTTTTCAGGCAAGAATACTGGAATGTGTTACCATTTCCTTCTCCACGGCATCTTCCTGACCCAGGGTTTGAACCCAGGTCTCCTGCATTGCAGGTAGATTCTTTACCACTGAGCCATCAGAGAAGCCTTGTATACATATACATCCATACATATAATATATATTTTATAAATTTTTAAAAATTTCTTTTCAGGTCCTTTTCCATTATAGCTTATTACAATGTATTTTATAATTTTTTATCATGCTTTGCTTCTGAAATTCGCTAAAACAACACATGTTCATTCATTATCGTTCAGCTTTCTTGTTAGTGATGAGGTATGCTCAGTAATTCTTGCAAAGTGGGAGAATCTTACCCATAAATTGTATCCAAATATAGTGAAGTTCTTATGGATTCTGAATGGAATCCTTAAGGAAATTTGACATGCTAATTATATGTTAATTGACTCCCCCCCCCACCCTGTTTCCTTTTTATCTTTATGCTAAGTTGCTTCAGTCGTGTTGGACTCTTTGTGAACCTATGGACTACAGCCCTCCAGGCTCCTCTGTCAATGGGATTCTCCAGGCAAAAATACTGGAGTGGGTTGCCATGCCCTTCTCCAGGAGATCTTAATCCAGGGATAGAACCTGCATCTTTTGTGTCTTCTGCATTGGCAGGGGAATTTCTTTACCACTAACACCACCTGAGTTAGTAATTTTGTTTTTGTGCTTCCCAGGTGGCCTTAGTATGAAAGCATCTGTCTGTATGCTTTCCACTTAAATTTACAGTATTCTTGCCTGTAAAATCCCATGGACAGAGGAGCCTGGTGGGCTACAGTCCACGGGGTCACAAAGAGTCAGGTACAATTGAGCGCACATACACACATTTTTGTTTTCAGAGCCTAGGCGTCATTTTGGAAGGCTCTCAAAAGCTTATGGACCACTGGCACAGTGCCTTAAGAGTCCCCCAAGGCCCTCAGCAAAATGAAAGGGCTCCCCTTCACCTCCACGGGGTTCAGTCTGGTCTCAAAGAAGCCACACTTGAGGCCCACAGTCTCCTGAGCTGGGGTTGTTGGCAAGCCTGTGGACAATGCACTTAACCAGTTTCCAAGGCATGTTCACTTCCACTGCCTCATTCCATCCCAGTAACAGCCTTGTGACTTCAATATCATTGGCCCTTTTCATAGGGGCACATGTTAAGGATCAGAGACGGCTCTGACCTGCCCAGGGTTGCACAGACCCAGCACTTGAGCCCTAAGCCAATGTACAGTGGGCAGAGCGTGGGACTGGGGTCCTGGGTGCATCTCTGTCTCCAGTTACAACCGTCACTCTGTGCCAGGCTCTCCACTGTGCACCATGGACGCCTTGGTGGACAGACACACTGCTCTCACAGGATAGGTTCTGAAGTCACCGGGCCTGGGTGGGGCCCTGATTCCATCCCCCAGGCTGCGTGGCTGTGGGCAAGTCACTGCCCTCCTGAGTTGTCCTTCCTTTGTCTGTGAGGTGGGTTTTAGTAGTGGGCACCTCTTGGGCTGCTGGGAGAAGTTAATGAAATCATCCTGGTAAAGCACTCTGTAAAACAGTGCTTGGCACATAGTACATCCTCCACATACTTTAGTTCTTGAAAATGCCGTTCTTATAATGTAAGTGGAGAAGACATACCGTCAGCGAACAACTGCAGTAAAGGGTGTGATACGTGCTATGGGATAGGGACTGATAACATAATAGCTGGAGGATGTCAAGGGAAGGCTTCCTGGAGGAGGTGACATGAGGGCTGGGTTCTGAAGCATGTGTAGGGATTAGCCAGGAAAGCGAAGGGGGTTGTTCCCAGCAGAGGGAACATCATGGGCAAAGGCCTGGAGGCAGAGAGCACACCCTCCCAATCTGGAGTGATTCCGAGTGCTAGAGGAATGGCACATCCGGGGGCCCAGCCAGTGCAGTGTGGACCCGGCGCTGTTTGTGTGAAGGAGGGGCCTGGCCGTGCCTCTGACCCTTGCAGGGTCTCATTTGCAGATGAGTCAGAGCTGATGGTGCAACTTCCGGACAAGATGCGATTGGACCTCGCCATCGACGTGAACTATGACATCGTCAGCAAAGTGGCACTCTTCCAGGTACGGCCTGCCCAGTGCCCCACCCGCAGGACTCTGGAAGTCCCCGAGCCCACGCCTTCCTCTAAATGGCTCCTTCCCCTCCTCTCGGGGCCAGGGCTGTGACCGGCAGATGATCTTTGACATGCTGAAGAGGCTGCGCTCTGTCGTCTACCTGCCCAATGACTACGTGTGCAAGAAGGTGAGTGGCTGGGGCGGCCGCAAGGCAGTCTGGGATTCACACACAGCCCCTGCTCATCAGAGCTGGGATGGAGGGGGCCCCCTGGGAAGGTGGTGAGGTTTGCAGGTGCAGGCAGAGCGGAACTGCTGGGAGGCGAGGCAGGTGGCAAGCTGACCCCAGGGCTCCCGGCTTGCTTGGCAGGAGGAGCTCCGGGCACAAGCTCAGATGTGTCTCAGCCTGGCTCCCTCCTCATGGGACCATGGGACCAGGATGAGGAACCCACTTTACAGAAGAGGAAAGTGAGGTGCCAAAAGAGGGTCAGGTCTTGACTGTGTACATGGAACTGCTTCCAGGGTCTTGGTCTTCCTGTCAGGAAAATGGGGCTGGACAAGGGGAGGGAGAGGTCAGAGGTTGCAAACTGATGGTCCTTGCCAAGGAGCCAGCCCACAATGTTTCATGGATTGTTTCCTCCCCACACACCCAGTTTAATCTAAAAATAAAGTTTTGAATTAGTCTCCCACCTGTAAAAAATGGGAAGGTTTCTGGAATTCCCTGGTGGTCCAGTGGTTAACATGTGGTATTTCCACAGCCGTGACCCAGGTTCAATCCTTGGTTAGGGAACTAGGATCCTGTCAGCTATGCAGTACAGCCCAAAAAAAAAAAAAAAAGGAAGGTTTCACATAAAAATCCAGATTTCTGGCTGGAAACAGAAAATTGGCCAGCACTGAGCCCCACTTTCCCAAATAGCAAGAGTCCTCTGCAGTGGAGAAGGGAATGGCTCTGAAGAGATGCCCCATGCCCCACCACTCCCGGCTGCCCTACCGGCTCACTTCTCTCCTTTCCATCACCCACCTGATCCTGGGGAGCATATGGATTTGCATCCCAGGGCTAGACAGTCTCTAAGGCCCCTTCTGCTCCCATTTTTTGGGATTTAAGGTGAGACTGAGGTCACTTGGTGACTGAGTGGTCAGGGTGGGGGAGCAGGAACCAGATTTCAGAGCTGTTCATAAGGCTTAGTGTGTGAACGGGGGTGGAAATACTGCTCAAGAACCCCCTGTAGGACTCAGAAACCCCCAGCCCCAGAAGGGCCCCGACTCCAAGTTGTATGCTGCACAACAGCGTACAATTGGAAGCAAAGAGCTGAAGGAAGAGGGACAAGGATGCTGTAAATGGCTGAGAATTCAAAGCTGCAGCCTTCGAGGCCAGGAGAGGTTGGGAGCCATAGTGATTTGTCTGGCACTGGAGCCACTTCCTCGCTGTGCAGCCTTGGGTAAGTGGCTTGCCCTCTCCGAATCTGACTCTTTTCATAGGTAAAGTAGGGATATTAATAGTATCTCCCTCATGGGGTGGTTGTGAGAATTAAAACATATGAGCATATGGAGTCTGGCACCATGGCCGGCAGAGTTGGTGCCATTGCTGTAGTTAGTATCCTCGTGGGTAATGTAGACTTGACTTTGGATGAGAAAGAGTGAATCAGATTGTTGGGGAGTTTGCTGCGGAAGCTGAACATTTGGTGAACATGTGTGAATGGCGCCCTCTGCTGACAGATTTTGTTCTGTGACAATTTCGCTGAGACACACCCCCTAGGCCACCTCTGGGCTGCTTAGTGAGATGAGGGTGAGTGCTTTAGACACCTCACATTTCAGCCCCTTGTCAAATTGGACTCTGAAATGGGAAGACTTTATTCTTTTTTGTTAAGAAGGCCATGCATGTGTGAGATGCCTAAGAAACATTTGTCAAATGAATCAAAAACAGAAGCACTTACCTGTCCTTGGTCTCTGCCTATCCTTAAACATGCCAGCTATGACCAACAGGTAGCTGGCCAGGGTGCCGGCCTGTGAGGGCATGGGGATTAGAAGGTGCTTGGCAGACTGGCTATTTCTGATTGTAGTCTGAAGCAAGTCATTCATTCATTCTTTTGGTTTAATTTGGGAGTAAGACCAAATTGTATCAGTCTGCTAGGGCTGCCATAACAAAGGACCACAAACACAATGGCTTAAACGACAGAAACGCATTGACTCACAATTCTGGAGGCCAGAAGTCCAAGGTCCAAGTGTCAGTGGGGTAGGTGCCTCTGAGAACAGTGAGTGAAGGATCTGCTCCAGGCTTCTCTCCTTGATTTGTGCTTGACTGTCTCCTCCCTCTGTCTCTTCACACCACTTTCCCTGTATGCCTGACTTTGTACCCAAAGGCCCCTTTTTAAGGACACCAGTCCTATTGGGTTAGGGGTCCCCCAACTCCAGCATGACCTCATCTTCACTTAATTCTTTACATCTCTGATGATCCTTTTTCCAGATAAGGTCACATTCTGAGGAGCTGGGTGCTAGGACTGCAACATATGAATTTGCAGGGGCACTTAGTTCAACTCATAACAACCGTGAGCTCTGGAACCAGACGGCCTGGGTTCAAATCCCGGCTCTGCCTTGCTGAACTCTGTGACCTTGGGCAGAGTTCCTACCGCAGAGGGCTGTTGAGGACTCAGTGGTCCCAGCCACATAAAACACTTAGAGCTGCACCTGGCACAGAAAAGTGATAGATAAGTGCTGGCCATTCTCATTCATGCTGTCATTCCCATGTCGGTTAGCAAATGCCTCCCAAGCATCTGAAAGGATGTGGGGGAGTCACAGGTATCAGCCGATTGTGTGAACAGTGTGGGCTTTTCCATGCCTCGGGGCCCTCATGGTATGCCCAGTTGGGGATCTGCCAAATACTCCTACACCTGGGCCTCCTTCCTAGCACTTTCCATCATACCATGAAGTCCCTACCGTAATCCTGCCAGTTAGGCAGGCTGGCAGGGTGGGGGTGGTCACTCTCCCCAGTCCACAGATGGAGAGACTGAGGCCCCCGAGGGGAAGCACATGCCAAGCCGGAGGAAGGGCTGGTCCCCCATGCTGTGCCGCCAGCATCCGGCCCCAGCCCCGCTGCTGCTCTGGTCGCCTTTGGTGATGACAGGGGGACCGCCCCTTCTCTGTTTCAGGGGGAGATAGGCCGGGAAATGTACATCATCCAGGCGGGTCAGGTGCAGGTCTTGGGTGGCCCGGATGGGAAATCCGTGCTGGTGACGCTGAAGGCTGGATCTGTGTTTGGAGAAATAAGGTCAGAGCGGGGTGAGACGAGGGGACCCGGGCAAAGGCTGGGGAAGGGGGTGTGACCCGTGGCTGGGGACCACATCCTCAAGGGCCCTCTGGTGGGTTTGAGGAAACCACGGTGCGGGCTGTACCGGCACTTGCTGATATGTGAGAGAGGTGGGACTGATACCGACCAGGGTGTGGAAATTGATGGGAGGTGAGAGAAGAAATTCAGGCAAGGCTTTGTTGGGGCCCTGGTCACAGAAGAGGGAGAAAGAACAAGCAAAAGTTTCCCTTGCTCACTTGCTCCCTAAGGTGGGGTGGGGGGGTGAGCTGGTTTCTTACATGGGCTCAAGGTAGGGGTGTGCTCAGGGGTTGGGCCAGTGGGGTGGCTAGGGTGTCAAGGAAGAGACGTTTGTCCAGGTGCAAGCATTGCAGCCCCAGGTCCCAGCCTGTCTCAGGCCCAGCTCTCACCCACCTGAGGTCATCATGGAGCTCCAGGCAGGGGTGAAAATGAAGATGCTGATGTGATCAAAACCACAGCCTTGAAGGTCCTCACCTCCCTTTCGTCTCTGCCCCAGCTTGCTGGCTGTTGGGGGCGGGAACCGGCGCACAGCTAACGTGGTGGCCCATGGGTTTACCAACCTCTTCATTCTGGATAAGAAGGACCTGAATGAAATTCTTGTGCATTATCCTGAGTCTCAGAAGTTGCTCCGCAAGAAGGCCAGGTACATTTTTTTAAATTAAAAAAATCCATATAGACTTTAATGTGCATTTTTCTTAAGGACTCAGACTTTCTTTTACATAACCATAGTACCTTTCTAAAAACTAGGAAATTGGAGATTGAAACAATACTGTTATCTCACCTCTAATCCATAGTCTAATTTTGTTCATTGTTCCAAGAGGGTCTTTTATAGCTTTTCTTTTCTTCTTTTCTATTCCTGGATCCCCTTTGCATGACATTGCCATGTTAGTTTCCTTTGATCTGGGACGAGAGTCCCAGATCTTTATTGATCTTCAAGATCTTTATTGATCTTAACATCTCTGAAGAGGACAGGCCAGTTATTTTGCAGAATACCCCTCCATTAAGTTTTTTTGAAAAGATATATTTATTTATTTCTGGCTGTGCTGGGTCTTCATTGCTGCACACATGCTTTCTCTAGTTGTGGCCAGCAGGGGCTTCTCCCTAGTTGCAGTGCTCAGGCTTCTCATTGCAGTGGCTTCTCTTGTTGTAGAACGTGAGCTAGAGTGCTGGCTCAGTAGTTGTGGCACACAGGCTTAGTTGCTCAATGGCATGTGGACCAGGGATTGAACCCATATCCCCTGCATTGGCAGGCAGACTCTTTACCACTGAGCCACCAGGGAAGTCCCCTCCATTTAAGTTTACGTGATGTTAATATTTTCTCATCATTATCTTCAGGTTCTGCGTTTGAGGCAGAAATTACTGAGAAGTGATGTTGTGTCCTTCTCAGTACAGCATATCGAGAGACACACAGTGTTGCTTTCTCACTATACTGATGATTTTTACTCTGATCACTGGTTAAATAATTAGTAAGTAATGAGTAAGAAGTCAAGACGATTTAGATTTCCTGTTCCTCATCTTGCCTTCACTCACTACTTTCAGCCTCCAATGAAGGTTCCTTGCAATGATTGCCATGATGGTTGCAAATGGTGATTTTCTTTCTCCATCATGCCTGCTACATTTATTAACTAGTGTCCTACTATATGGAATAACTTTCTTTTCTTTCCCATTTGTTTATTCATTTATCTGTTTGTAAAAATACAGATTTGCTTTATTCCATGAATACCCTGTTGCAATCATGGTTTTGATGCTCCAGTTCCAGACTGGCCACTGGACACCTCTGCAGGCTGGGTGTAGTGAACTTCTGTTACGTCCCTGTTATATTTTAGCACTTTTTTGCTTACAGGCATAATAAGTTGCCTTAGATTCATCTTATACTTTCCCTGCTGCATCCCTGGAAGTGGTCATTTCTCCAAGGAGGCTTGATTCCTTTTAGAAGGGAATGGTTTTCAGAAACTAAGGTCTGAATACTCCCTGGTAGTTCAGCTGGTAAAGAGTCTGCCTGCAATGCAGGAGACCCCAGTTCAATTCCTGGGTTGGGAAGATCCCCTGGAGAAGGGATAGGCTACCCACTCCAGTATTCTTGGGCTTCCCTTGTGGCTTAGCTGGTATAAAATCTGCCTGCAATGCAGGAGACCTGGGTATGATCCCTGGGTTGGGAAGATCCCCTGGAGAAGGGAACAACTACCCACTCCAGTATTCTGGCCTGGAGAATTCCATGGACTATATAGTCCATGGGGTCACAAAGAGTCAGACATGACTGAGTGACTTTCGCTCACTCACTTACTCATTGCTACTGGGTTGCTACTAGGCCTTCACAGTGGATAGAGCTGGGAAATATACCCACATGTACAGCTGGAAAAGGTACCCACATGTACATTTGTGTGTATAAATGCAAATATATACATATATGCGCATCATATACATAAACATCAACATCTATTTTTTTGTCTGTGTCTATCTATATCTCTATTTCCATCTAACAGTTTCGATCCAGTATCACAGAATTCATTCTAATCTCCTTTTCCAGATTTGTAAATTTCTTTTTCAACACTGAGAAATTTGAGTCCTTTTATCCTCATTACATTTATTCATTTGTTCTGTCCTACAGTATAATGTAGTACCAGAATTCCTATCCCGAACTATTGGAAAGAAGAAAGCCTTAAGTAGAGAGTAGTTCTTTTTGTCTTTAGCCTGAGTACCTGTGATATACATGTTGTATTCAGTTGTTTGGTTTGGTTCTCTGTTTTCTTGCCTTTACTGTGGTTGTTCTGTTCATTTGAAGTACAGCTAGGTTCACATGTTTCATTTTTCATTCCATTTTAGTGTTTCCCCACTTTTTGTTGATTTTATGTGTTTGGAATATGTAGAACATTAACATGGCAGAAGTCTACAAAACAGTGCACTCAGAGTCCCAAATACCCCTACTTGTTGCCACCCACCCTCTATAGGAGCCTAATCTCATTAGTTTCTGCTTTTTAATTCCTGTGTTTCTTTTGCAAAAATAGGAAGATCATGACCATTTTGTTACTTCCCTTTCTGTCTTACACAAAGGGTAGCATACGGTAGATTCTCTTTTGCACTTGACTTTTTTCATGTGACAATAAATCACGGAAAACATTCTCTGTGAGTCTACAGACAGTTTCCTCGTTCCTTTTGACAACTGCAAAACATTCCTATGAATGGGCATGTAGGCTAGTTCCAATATTTTGCAATTATAGATAGTACTACAATGAATAAGCTCATGCATCTGTACTTTGTATTGTTGGGGGATTGGTAGTTTTTTTTTTTTTTTTTTTGGCTGTGCTGTGCAGCTTGTGGGATCTTAGTTTCCCAGCCAGGGACTGAACCCTTCCCCCGGCAGTGAAAGCCTGGAATCCTAACCACAGGACTGCTAGGGAATCCCCTGGAATAGGTAAGAAAAGCAGTTGTTTTGCTTTCAAACCCATAAGATCAGGTTTTAAATTGAGCAATAGATGCAGCTTGATGTGGTAGAAAACAGACTTGGGAGAGCGATGGGATTCAGATGCTGTCTGTGTGCAGTACTGGGTGCGTGACCTCGGAAAAGCTACTTTTCTTTCTGATCTCCAGTTTCTCCACTGGAAAGCAAGGGTGATCCCTTTGTTGTGGAGCCAATTAAATAAAAACAGTGTGTGTGAATGTCTCCAGCAGGGGGCCCAGCACACAAGGGAGCTCAATATATGTTAATAATAATGATGGTTCCTCTTTATCCATTAAATTCTCTCTGTAATTTTCCGTGGGATAATATCTTTTTAATCCACCTATCTGGCATTTCTTCCCATACCTTTTAACATATATTCATATTTTCCATTTCAGTCACCATGAATAAACTACACCGAGAATGATCATGATCAAGGGAAAAAACTCACAGTATCCATTCATACAGCACAATAATTTATTGAGCTGATATGTTGAGGCCCTGGGGACACAGCAGAGACCAAACAAAGCTTACGTTCTAGCCGGGGAGACCAACAGTGGAGAAATGAGTGACTGTGGGATATGTCAGCTGGAGGTAAAGGCCATAAGGAAATATAAAGCCTCCTGAGGAGACAGAGGTGATGGAGGGAGCTATGTGTGATAAGTTGGTCAGGAAGAGTCATTCTAAGGACATGGCACCTCAGCGGAGACCAGCCCAGAGTGAAGGAGTGAGGTGCCTGCAGGGAAAAGCATGCCAAGCAGAGGGAACAGCGTGTGCGAAGGTTCAGAGGAGGCACAGACTTGGTGTTTCACAGAGACCAGCAACGAAATGAGCATAGGTTGTTATGGGATGGGAGGAGTGGAAGGGGTGAGATTGGGTAGGGCCTTATAAGGGAAGTCTCACATATAGCTTTAGTTTTTAGTCTGAGGGAGACGAGAGTTATGCAGGGTTTTACACTGCAGAGTAACTTGCGGTGACTTAAGTTTTTAATAAAATCCCTTTGGCAGCTCCCAGATGAGTGGAAGCAGTGTCAACCTTAGAGCATAATACAGACAAGGCGCTGGGGTCTCCTGGGGAAGGAAGATGTCCCATAACTCATCTTACCTGGCTGCTCACAGAGCAGCCACCGGGCCCTTACAATGACTGGTTACCTGAGCTTCCGCCAAAGAAACAGGAAATAAAAATAAAGTCAATTAACATATAAGTAGCATATTCAAATTTTGCCAAGTCTGCCTGCTTCACCCTACTCTCCTGAGGGAGAGTCAACCCTCATTATTCATGGATTCCGTATTTTCAATTCACCTACTTACTAAAATTTATTCATAACCCCCAAATCAATACTCAAAGGCTTATAGGGACATTCGCAGATGCGTGCCCAGTGGCAAAAATTTGAGTCCACTGGAAGTGCATTTTCCAGCTAAATTGAAGAAGGTTACACTCTGCTTTCTTATTTCAGCTCAGATTGGAAACAAGTGTCTCTCTGTGGTTCACTTCGTACCACGTTTTTCACATTTTTGTGAATTTTGTTCATGGTTCACTATTAAAATGGCCCCAGGTGCAGTGCTAAAGTGGGGCCTTGTGTTTCCACGTACAGGCCTGAGTCACAGAGCCACATGTTCATTGTAAATGAATCAACAATATTAAATAAGATGTCTTTAAAACAGACACCACACACACACAAAAGAAAAGGTTAGAGAATGGTCAGTTGATGAAAATGTTGTGTTGAGAGGCTCACAGTAACCAAATTCTGTATTTTCCCAAAAAGCCATTGCTCAGTAGTCACTAATTCCGTGTCTGCAGACGCTTGACAGAGCTTAAGCACTGCGGATAATGAGAACTGACTTTAAGAACGGGCCCCAGGTCCCCCTCCCCTTCCCTTCCTGCCCCCTGCAAGAGGAGCATGGCTCAGAACACCCATACTTAGAGCTGTTACCCCATCCCTCCACCTGGCTTAGGTGTGGGTTTGGGGCTCCCACAGAGGCCTCGCTCCTGGCTGGGCCTGCAGTGTGCTGGCCAGAGGCAACCAGAGGAAGGAGGAGGGGCTGGTGGGCCCTCCAGAGGGGGCAGTGACACGCTCTTCAGAGGCTGCTTCTCTGGACAGGCAAGCTTCAGGAGAGAGGCGGGGGTCACAGATGAGCTCGGCCCACCCAAGGAGAGATGGGGCTGAGAACCACAGGGCCTGGGGATGTCTGAGTTGGTGAGAGCCCCACCTGGGATTCTGTCCAAGTTGCCCACTTTACAGATGGGGGACCCAAGGCCCCAAAGATGTGAGATGCTCCATTCTCTGACTCGGCCACTCCAAGAAACAAGGCAAAAAGGTCTCATCCATGCTGCTCTCTCCAGGGGTGAATTATACAGTAATTATAGTGAAACGCATGTCAGCTGAAAATGAGGATAAATTTCCTTAATCTGGAAATGTCCCAGAAGTCAGCTCAATGTTTCAAAACAGAGACAGCCATTAGCAGTCAGCAAAGGTCCCATAGCTGCTGCCTCCATGTCATTTGAGTACCACGCTGAGCCTTCCCACGGACCGCCGTGCTGTGAGTTATGGACTCAGATAACACAGGTGACAGCGCCAGGCCTGGAAGAGACCCCTCATGATTATTGTGTTTGTGGCCTCCCGGGGGAGCCCCAGCTAAACAATGCAAGTCTTGGGCAATTAATATCAGTATGCACAATTTAAATCCATTGCGTCTGATTAGATAAGCAGCTAGTAATGGCCTCATTTTTAAACAAGTTTTGCTGGGACCCTGATGAACGAATTTGCCAATTAGTTGCCGAGGCCAGCTAGATTGCAGGCGAAACTCATTTGTTTTTGAGCCAAACCACTCACCACATATCAGGAGCATGAACAATTCCTTAGAAAAGGCCAGGGCTCTCTTTGATGGAACATTCTCTCCTTATTTAGAGAAGCAGAGTGGTATATTGCATTGAGATCTGGGTTGTAGTTCTGTCTCTGCCACCTCTTGCAACCTTGGGCATGTCACTCATTTCATACTGAGCCTCAGTTTCGCCAGCTCTTTTAGGTACAGTAATCCTTCTGGCCAGCACACTGCAGGCACAGCCAGGAGCAAGGCCTCTGTGGGGTCCCCAAACCCACACCTAACCCACAGAGTATTGTCACAGAGTATTGTCAGCATCCAAGAAAATAATAAACGTGACATTCCTTTGTAATCATTAAGACATTGCGATCCTGGGGTCAAAGGCATGAGTTTGAATTCCAACTCTGCTACTTCCCAGCTGTGTGGCCTTGGGAAAATTACTCACCCTCTCTGGGCTTCCATATTCTCATTTGAAATGAGGGAGAATAATAGGACCTTCCTGCGAGGATTAGTGCGAGGGTTACTCTGATAAAGAACAGAGAGCAGATCAGTTATCTATTGCAGCATAGCAATGTTACCACAGATGGAGTGGCTTAAAATCACGCATATTTATTATCTCAGAGTTTCTAGGGGTCAGAAGTCTGGGGACAGCTTAGGTGCATCCAATACAAGACAGTCATCAAGATGTGGGCCCGAGTTAGGTCTTATCTCAAGTCTTGACTGGGGAAGGATCTTCTTCCAAGGTCCCACAGTTGTTGATTGAATTCAGTTCCTCGTGGCTGTGGGGCTGGGGGCAGCTTCAGTCACTGGCCAGTGGCCACCCTCAGGTTTCGGTCTCCCCCAGCATGACTGCTTACTTCATCAAAGCCAGCAGGGGAAGGAGTCTTCTTGCAGGACAGAGGCCACAATCCTATGCGGCTTACATTCACAAAAATGACATTTGAGCTCCCTGGTTGTATTCCATTGGTTGAAAGCAAGTCACATGTCCCACCACACTCAAAGGAAGTGGGTCACACAGAGGTGTGAACACCAGGAAAGGGGGTCACGGGGATCACCAAAGAATTCCTGCCTGTAAAGGTCTGAGCATACAGCCTGACACATACAGACCCTCTGTGTGGATGATGGTCGTGGTGATGATGGTAAAATGACAATAAAGCCAAAGAAGGAGTAGCCAGAAGCTCAGGCTCTTTTTCCTCTGGGCATCCTATTTCCGATTCCATATATTAAAGTATCCTGCATCATTTCCTGTGTAACCGCAGAAAAGTCACTCAACCCCTCTGAGCCTCAGTAAGACCCCAATCATTATGACTGTTCTGATCATTCAGTGAGATGTGATGTCCCAAGCAGCACTGCGCTGGGCTCAGAAAAGGACCTCAAACTGTCAGCCAAACCAGCCTGCATCACACAACTCAGCTAAAGGGCTCTGCCCAAATGAGTGAGGCTTCGTTCTCTCCCAGAGCTTGCCAGTGATGTTAGCGGATGCTGCTTTCTTTCAGGCGAATGCTGAGAAATAACAACAAGCCCAAGGAGAAGAGTGTGCTTATTCTCCCTCCGCGGGCGGGCACCCCCAAGCTCTTCAATGCCGCCCTGGCCGCAGCAGGAAAGATGGGTGCCAAGGGAGGAAAAGGCGGCAAGCTTGCCCTCCTCAGGGCTCGACTCAAGGAGCTGGCCGCGCTGGAGGCGGCCGCCAGACAGCAGCAGTTGCTGGAACAGGTAATGCAGTTGGAGACCTAGACACCTGGGCCATTTTAACCACGTGCCAGGGAAAAGGCCTCAGGACCCAGGCGTTCCATTGTAGGGACTATTTTTCCTTCTTTCTATCAGTCTGGATTCATTTGATTGCAAGTGACAGAAATGCAACTGACAGTGCAAGCTCAAATTAGCTTGAGAAAACAGGGAATTTACTGGAGCAGGTTATTGAAAGGTTCAGGCAAGCCTGAATCTACAAGTTCAAATGATGCCAATAGGATGAGATCTGCCATTCTGTCACCTCTGCTTCCCTGGCTGGTGGCTGCATTCCCAGGCAGGGCCCCAGGGGCTTAACATGACAGCCCCTAAGGTTACATCCTCCTGGCTGAGCAACTGCCATAGAAAGCACCTCCTTCCCAGTAGTCCCAACAAGAAGTCCCAGGGCTCATCGTCATTGGACAGAATTGAGTCACATGTCGATTCCCGAGGTGTGGAGCACCAATGCGGTGCTCTCTGGTGAGGACCAGCTCATGTGCCCACCCATGGACTCAGAGTGGGGAGGGGCTGGGGTGAGGAGTGTTCCCCCAGATGGAAGTTTGGGTGCTGCTGCAGAGGTGGGAGCAGTGGGTGTGGGCAGGGAATGTCCCTCCCCAGACGACAGTGATGGTCTCATATCTAATGTTGTGTCTATGACAAGTTAAAAGATTTGAAAGGAAAAACCAAGGCGATAGGCCTGGTGCCAATGGTCCCCACCCCCTAAGTCTAAAGGGAATTTTAAAATTAGTTCTGGGACTTTTTTCTGTGACTAATGCCAAGAATGCCAATTAGAATGATTGCACTAATTATGGTTGTTCATAACTGTCCTTTAGGAAGGCTGCTGGGAAAGGGGAGGGGGATGGGGTTAAGCAGAAGCTCAGTGGTGGGGATGGGGAGCGGACGGCAGTCTACATGACAGAATTCAAAGGAGCCTGGTGGACTCGTCTAAATCCAGGCTGGTGTCACAGTCCAGGAGACCTGTTCAGAGGTCATTTGACAGCAGGAGTCAGGGAATGACACCCAAGTCACCTAGGGTTCCAAGACATTCTCCAGATACATCCACCAAACTCCACACCTAAAGCAACTAGAGAAGGAAGAAATGAAGAACCCCAGGGTTAGTAGAAGGAAAGAAATCTTAAAAACTTAGGGCAGAAATAAATGCAAAAGAAACAAGAGACCATAGCAAAAATCAACAAAGCTAAAAGTACCTTTTTGAAAAGGTAAATAAAATTGACAAACCGTTAGCCAGACTCATCAAGAAACAAAGGGAAAAGAACCAAATCAACAAAATTAGAAATGAAAATGGAGAGATCACAACAGACAACTCTGAAATACAAAGGATCATAAGAGACTACTACCAGCAGCTCTATGCCAATAAAATGGACAACTTGGAAGAAATAGACAAATTCTCAGACTGAGGAGAGATGTGACTAACTGTTAAGGGCAAGGTCGAGCTGGTTTTAAAACTTGGGCTCTTAGGTGCTGGCTGGTGTGTGGAGCTGAGTAAACGGGAGCTCTGACAGTGTTCTCAGCACAGTGAAAGGTTTTATCTGAAATGGATTAGCAATTTGTTGCTTCTAAGTGTTAGCTCTTCACCCAGGCAGCTTGAAGATGTGCATTAAATTTGCATGCAGGTGCTCATAAAAGGCAGTTTTAGAACAACCTGGGCAGAAGGGCGGAGTGCAAGGAACTCTTAAACAGCAGCCTAAAGACACAGGTCGAAACCCTGGCTCTGTCACCCTCTGTCCTGAGGAAGCTCTTCCAGGACATCCTGGGACCCAGGTTACTCCTGGCTGTCCCACGGGGTGGCAGAGATGAAGCAGGATATCTTGGATACTTGTATAAAAGCATGTTCAACAAGGTGAAACATTTGATCAACCTTCCCATGATCCTTCTGGCTCCGTTCACAGCAGGATGCTTCAAGAAGATCCCACGAGGGGCCCCACGAGGCATCCTGCCCTGGAAGTGTGTTGTCAGAGTTTGGGGGTGGTGAGGTGAAACAGGCATTCCAAAACATGCAGAAACAGCAAGACGGGGAGCTGCAGGTCCCAGAACTGCTTTGCTGTCCAGGAACTTCTTGGGTAACCCACCTTTACCCAGGTCCCTTCCTTCAGCACCCTCTGACTTGAGTATACTTCAGGGGCTCACTAGTCTCCATAATAAGCACACTGACTGCTCTCATGTGAAACTCCCTAAGAACCACCGGGCCTTCTCCTCTGGGGGCTGTTCCCCCCCCCAGCTTCATCCCACTCCCAGATGGCGTCAGACAGCAGGAGGGGCCGTGGGTATCCACAAAGGCTTGGATTTTCACCCACTTCCCTAATTATACCCATAGGAACCTGGGTCCCTAGAACCCCGCAGGCTGGAGACTGGACGTACCCACCAAGTCCACAAACGCGGGGGCTCAGTTCAGCCCGATGCCAGTGGCGCCCAGCCCATTCTTCCCTGGGGGTCTCAACCTGAGAGACCCTCTGAGAAATGGGCAGGCCACAACTGCTCCTGCTCTCAGCAGCCTTTACCTTATATTTATTTATCTCTGGCTCTCTCTCTCTCTCTTTTTTTTTTTTGACTGCACCCTCTGGTGTGTGGGATCTTAGTTTCCCGACCAGGAATTGAACTCAGCCCTGGCAAGGGAAGTGCAGAGTCCTGACCATTGGACCACCAGGGAATTCTCAGCCTTTACCTTATTTGCTTCGAGTTTTTCTCATACTCCAGCGAACACACATCCAGGCTAGCTGGGCAGGGCAGGCCGGCTCAGCTCTGCAGAGGCCTTGGCGGCCATCCCTCCTGGTCACAGCCTCTCTCTCCTCCCTCAGTTCAGTGCGGGGCCCTGCCATTGAACCCTCATTCTGTCTCCAGCTTCCAGCCCTACAGCTCCACAGACACCTAAAATATCCCAAAAACCTTCACCAAACCCTACCCAGACTTTGAATCCTTAAACTTCCCCACAATATATGTTTCTACCAAATAACCCTGACAGCGCCGTCCAATGTTACAACTGTTAGATTTCACCTGCAGAGTGCCATCATCCTTTCAGGGGTCCGAGGATGAGGAAAGTGTCCGAGACCCCTCCAAGACCCCTCTGCCTTACTAGTCATTCTTTCTGTATTCCAGGCCAAGAGCTCGGAAGATGCCACCCTGGGACAGACGGGATCAGCTGCCCCCGAACAGTCCCCGGCTCCAGAGCCGCCGGCCCCAGAGCCCCTGGCCCCAGAGGCCCCGGCCCCGCGCTCTCCACCACCTGCCTCCCAGGAGAGGCCAGGTGGACACGAGGAGGCCGCGGCGCGACCAGAGGAGCACTCGGTGCGGATCCAGGTGAGCCCGGGCCTGGATCCCAGCGAACAGATCCCGTCGGTGGAGATCCCTGAGGAGCAGGAGGAGAAGGAGAAAAAGGAGGAGGAGACAGAAGAAAAGGAAGACGGGGAGGAGGCGAGGAAGGAGAAGAAGGAGGAGTGAGCGGCAGTTAGTGCGCTACCCACGCCCCCAGCCCCCGCAGGTGCGCGCTCCCCACCACCCAGCGCCCCACCTCGCGGCCCCGCCCCCCTCGTCCCCCCTGCACCCCGCACCCTCCGCTCCCAAAGGCCAAGACGCTGGTCCGCAGTAGTGGCCTCAAGCGCTCGGCCGGTGGTCCTGATCTGACATCAGTTTCTGCACCTCCCGGGGCTGGTCTTGAAATTAACAAACTTCATAGTGTCTGTGCCGGGTGAGTTCCCACCGTCACTTGGGAACCCTGCCTCCTCTGCACCTGTAACTATATTTAAGAACAAAATACTTTTCTGTAGGGCTTCAGTACATGGGAAGCCTTGTTGGAGAAAAAAGTGTTGTTGAATGTTTGGATTTTCCTCTCAGGAATTTGTCTTCCCCTCATTTCAAGAACAGAAAACATTTCTGGCAGAAGTGGGAGACAGCTATGCTGTTCCTTTGACGAATGGAGATTGCACGCGCATTTGACCGTGGTCTGGTGCTGTCTCTCCGCTGGGCAGTCACATTAGGAACACCGTGCTCTTTAGGACACTTAGTACTTATCTTCCGCAGACTATATCCCACTGTGCCCAGTGATGCTGTTTTCTTAGAATAGATATAGTGGAAATTGTTTACTGGCAAGAAGCTCTGAGTGTTTCTGAGCATCCACTCGGCCAGTTAGCTAATCCTCTTCATCAGGGATTAATCCGTTACTTGTTTTTGACACCCTTGCTGTAGAGATGATGATGTGTGCTAAGTCACTTCAGTTGTGTCTGACTCTCTGCGACCCTGTGGACCACAGCCTGCCAGGTTTCTCTGTCTGTGGGATTCTCCAGGCAAGAATACTGGAGTGGGTTACCATATCATCCTCCCAGGGATCATCTTTCTGACCCAGGGATCAAACCCAAGTCGCTTATGTCCCCTCCATTGGCACATAGGTTCTTTACCACTAGCGCCACCTGGGAACCCCTCGGAGATAATGGTAGCGATTTCCACTAGGCCTAGAAGGTAGAGTCTGGTGACTAACACCACTGAAATTTCTGAGCTTTCTCCAGAACAAGTCATGTTGCTTTTATAATTAAAAAAAGAAAAAGAGTCATTCAGTCAAATGAATATTTATTGAGAGGATTATATTTGCATACCACATGGCTCTTTGCGGGGTGTGGGTGATTAAAAACAAAACTAGTATCGGGCCATTTGTTCCCATCAGCAACAATGAATACAGAAGACCTGGCATCCCAATAGGTCCTGCCCATTTCATATAAAATTACAGAAACCTGGTGAACTACAGAAGGGGCCTTTGAAGGCTGGCAAAGTTGTGTTCTTCATCTATTCAAATGAAAGCAGAGCATTCATTTCCCCTGTGAAGAGTAAACAATATGGGAATTCCCAGACTGGCCTAAGTATTGCTAGATCCCAGGGTAACAAACAGATTCACCTAGTCCCTGTTGTATCATGTGATCTTAGTAATCATTCTGTTGAATATAGTGATGAGCAGTGTTATTAACTGACCTTTCAAAAAACTTTTATTTTTAAAGGTAATAACCTATTTGCTAAGTCACTTCAGTCGTGTCCAACTCCCTGTGACCCCATGGACTGTAGCCCACCAGGCTCCTCTGTCCATGGGATTTCCCAGGCAAGAATACTGGAGTGGGTTGCCATGCCTTCCTCCAGGGGATTTTCCCAACCCAGGGATCGAACCCATGTCTCATTATATTTCCTGCATTGGCAGGCAGGTTCTTTACTACTAGAGCTACCTGGGAAGCCAATAACATATTTACATGTGTACCAAGGACAGTTATTAATAATTCTCCCTCCTACCCCAGATTCCCAACGGCCTTGGTCCCCTTCCTGGAAGCAATCATGATTATCAGTTTCTTATTTATTCTTTAAGAGATATTTTTAAGCTTGCACAAAGAAATTTGTAAATTCACTCTGATTTCCTTCCTTCCCACCCTACCCCCTTCCAAATGGTAACAGACTAATCTGCTGTTATTTTTCACTTGATTTATTTTGGAGATTGTTTCCTATCAGAACATAAAGGGCTTGCTTATTTTTTTCTGGACTGCAATCTAGCCCATTGTATGGATGTACCGTAACACTTAGGGGCTTCCTCTGTGACTCAGCAGTCAAGAATCCGCCTGAAATGCAGGTGAGAAGGAGACACAGGTTTGATCCCTGGATTGGGAAATGCCCCTGGAGGAGGGCATGGCAACCCACTCCAGTATTCTTGCCTGGAGAATTCCATGGACTGAAGAGCCTGGCGTGCAAAGAGTTGGACATGACTGAAGAGGTACACGCACTGTAACACTTAACCTCTCTCCCATTAATGGACATTTGCATTGTTTCCAGTCATATGCTATTAAAAATAATGCTGCAGTTAAAAATACTGTACAGATATCATTTCACTGGTAAATACTTTTTAAATTGGAGAATTCTGGAGGCTTGGGCTAAATTTTTCTTTACCATCCCCATTCCTCTTTATCATATTTAGACTATATATTCTATGACCCAAGCATAGAGAATGCATCCATCTTAGCAAGTATTTCAGATATATCAATCAGCTTATTGCCTTTCAGTAGATGGCAAAAAGTTTCAAAGACACCTTCACTGTGATCTTCTACTTACTAAGGAATCTTTGTTATATAAATGTACTTATTCTTTTAGATATCATCCCTTGAGTGTATACTGCTTATTATATAAAGCGAGAGGTTTTTGAGGTTTCCAAGAATTGTCCTGGGAAGAAAATTGATTTTGAAATGAGATCAGTAGTGTCTTAATTTCATTGAGAAATCTCATAAAACTTGATACTTTCACAAACTTTGGATATTAGATAAATTGAGTTTGAGGCTGACCTTATTCTCCAAATAGAATGAGATGGGCTGATTGCCAAGATATAGATGATACAGATCAGGAACTATTATTCTGCAGCTGAAACAGGACTTTTACTTATATGTGTTGTCTCTACTAATTTAAAATGTTTCAACATTTCCTGCATTTTGGTAGAAAATGAACATCAAGTTATTTTTTTTAACCACGTAAATATTTTAAATAAAATGAAAACCAAGAAGCTGTTTGCAGTTTCATTATCCAAATGTATTCGGCTCCCTGGAATATTTTCATTCATTGTCTTAGTAAACATGAATACTGTGTTTGCACTCTGGCTTTTATCCTATTATAATGCATTTTAATTAAAAGTATTTAGACAAATGTTCCTGGCTTGTGGATTCATTTCAGAAACTGACCAAGTATGACAGACACTTTTATGAGAAAAATGAAGTTTATTTTCCAGCTCAGTCTCCCTAGTTGATCTCCTGTGGCCATCTTTGGGGCTATAATCCATCCTGTATTTCTGTTGCTGCACTGATATCCCTTATGAAACCACCCCTAGGAGTTAGAGTCCCTCAAAAATAGCCCTTTTATGTCCAGTCTTACACAGCCCACTCCTTACAATTTCCCCAGCCTCATTAGATGTATTCTAATGCTGACACTTCAGAGAGCTGACACGCATGAATTCTGGATTTACACTGCCTAGCTTCCAATCCCAGCTTGACCGTGTACCTCTCTGAGCCCCGGTAACCTCATGGAGATAATACATTGCACCGCATAGGGCCACTGAGACGATCAAATAATAAACTAGCATGGTCAAGTCTGCATGGGCACAAGAAATAAAGCCGAAGTGCCACCCCCCTTGCCCAGCCACAGTTGGGATAGATTAGAAGCCCACTCAGAACTCTGTATTCTCTGAATTCTGCCACTGCCTGTGATTATTACACATGCAGAAGGGGCGTGATCCCCTCTTTCTTTGCTCTTTAACTAATAGTTTGTACAACAGCCTGGATATATGTGAATTATAACAATACCAATCACAGCTTCCCCCACCATCCCTGAATATCCTTAACCCAATCTCTTGTGAAAACAGACCCAACCAAGGCCGATTCTCTTGGGATGGTCACTCTTTCTGGGCTGCACCAGGGCAGGCCTCATGGGTACCTGACCCATGCGGTCACACGTGGACCTGCGCTTGTCACCATATTTAAATCCTTAATAGTTTGTAAACAAGCGGGCTCACATTTTTATTTGTACTGGGCTCCCCAAATTATGTAGACTGTCCTGCTATCTGAAAAGACCAGTGAAGAGGGAGGTAGAGCTGTGTCTCTTCTCTACTCAGCGTCCTGCTTCTTCTTCCTGCTTCCCTGTCAAAAGCTTACCTTTCAATCATGTTTCCTGACTCAAGCAGGATGACCCAGACTAGACCCACTGACTCTTACCTGGGAATCTGAATCTTGGGGGCTATTGCCCCATCCTCCTTGCTAGCAGAATCCTGATTTAGTTTTGGGCAGCAACATGCCCAGCCCCAGGAGATGAAGCCCACAGTGTAAGCCAATCATTGCTCTTCAGACCCTTTATGCCAGACACTCACTCTCCCAGCCCTCCCTGCGGCTGGAGGTGCTCAATGGACCCAAACCTAACCAATGAGTATACAGGGAAGGATGATGGGTGGGTGCCCTAATAAAGGAACCCCACCCTGTGCTTTGGTCCCTCTTTCTTGCTTGCAATGCCAATCAGTTCAGTTCAGAAAATTCTGAAAGAGATGGGAATACCAGACCACCTTACCTACCTCTTGAGAAATCTGTATGCAGATCAGGAAGCAACAGTTAGAACTGGGCATGGAACAACAGACTGGTTCCAAATAGGAAAACGAGTACATCAAGGCTGTATATTGTCACCATGCTTATTTAACTTATATGCAGAGTACATCATGAGAAATGCTGGACTGGATGAAGCACAAGCTGGAATCAAGATTGCTGGGAGAAATATCAGTAACTTCAGATACGCAGATGACACCACCCTTATGGCAGAAAGTGAAGAACTAAAGAGCCTCTTGATGAAAGTGAAAGGAGAGTGAAAAAGTTGGCTTAAAGCTCAATATCCAGAAAACAAATATCATGGCATCCAGTCCCATAAATTCATGGCAAATAGATAGGGAAACA